GGCGACTCACTTGGAGTTATCAAGATCCGACGGCACTCCGGGACTCCTCTCGCCGGGCCGCACCTTTTTCCGGCCACCGTCGCCGGATTCGGTGAACTTTTCCGGCGACCATTTTTTCCGGCGATCGAGCACCCACCGAACTTCCGGTTAGTCCTTTTCGAGTTTTTCATGTTTCTTACCATTATCTCTACATGCTTGATCTATTTTCCGGCAACCGGAGCTCCCTACTTTATCTCTTTCTATTTACGAGCTTCCGACGACCATTTTCTCGACATTCTCCAAGGTATGTCGGCTCTACCTCTACTTGCATTTCCATTTGTGTCGAATTTGGTCATTACTCTTGCCGGAGTAGTCGTGGTGGGTGATTTGGGCTATACTTGTGCTTGATGGGCACGTCTTGCCAGGCGTGCCAATTTTTGTGTTGTGTTGCCGGATTTTTGGAGGTTGTAGGTTCCTACATACGGCTAGTGCCGGAACTTGTTTTTTGCGTTGGACCAATGAGGAGTTGCTCATGCCAATGGCGGCTTTGAAGCCCGATTTTTAAACTTTCACGCCTACATGTGCCTTCGTCGAGTGTGTGAATTCACGGCTAGTATCTCTCCGAGGCACATACATGTGGCTCTTGTTTATCTCGGTTCATGCGCTCAATGTTCAACTGTTCGAGTGGTTTCGACTTTCACTTGGGGACCTTCGGCTTCTCTTCTCTATTCTTCCGGACGAATACCATTCGACACACGATGGTGCACCACCGTGTAGAGTACGCATTTTCTTTTCTTTCTTCTTTTCTTTTTCTCTTTGTTGTTTCGTGTGTGTCTGTGTTTTATTTCTTTTGTTTGCTCGTTTATTTTATTTCTTCTCGTCTATCGCTTGAGTTTGTGTGATTATGTGCTCGATCCTATGCTTTTTGGTCAAGCAATGAGGACATTGCTTTGTTTTAAGTGTGGGGGAGGGATTTCATGATTGTACATGTTTGGGCGATATTTCTTTCATTTTTGGTTCTTTATTTTTGCATTTTGGACCGGTTTTGTTTGTGTTTTCATGTCTTTGAGGCAATTCCCCTCCATGATGCTTGATGTGAGTTTGAAGGCCCAAAATGGTTAAGTGGTGAGATAAGTATGTTGATTGGCGTCATTGTTAACTTTTGTGCTTTATGAATTTGATGATTTGGATGGTACCATTGAATTGAATGATAATTTGATAAACGTGGGACCCTCATGTGAATTCACGGAATTGTTTTGTCCCTTGTGGTTCTCGATTGATTGACTTGAGATAAGTTACCTTATACTCGACATCATTGTAAACGTGTTATGCTATTTATTCATAGTGCATCTTGATCGATTGTGCGATTATGTTATTACATTGATGATGTACGTTTGTGCCACTCCCTTCTAAAAAAAAAAGGGAAAAGAATAAAAGGTGAGTTCGCGAGGAGGTACGGACTAGGCTCTCTTATCCCTATTCACTTCGTGAAATGGGATAATGAGCCCGAAAAACCGGTTTAGGGAACTCGAGTTGACTAATCGAGGGTATACCTAAATAAGCATTGTCTAGGAAACCTTGTTCGGAAAAAGAAGGTCACGAAAAAAAATAAAAATAAAAATAAAAATAAATAAAATAAAATAAAAAAAAGATTCAAAAACAAACAAATAAGAAAAGGGAGTTGGCTTATTTGGTCTTGTTTATCATGCTCTACATTTTGAGTAGACCATATTAGCTTTTTGCACGTGTTTGTAGAAAAAAGGAGGCTTGGATCGAGAAAATTATGTGTAGGATGACTGGGGACGGATTTTCGTTTTGTATGGATTCATTTTGTGGGGAACATGTTTTCGTACTTGAGTTTGATTCAATGGTTTACTAGATGATAAGGAGAATGTCATATTCGCATGATTGTTAACCTTGGACCATTCGACGTTTCTTTTCAAGCTACTTATTATTTTGTTTGCTTGAGGACAAGCAAAAAGCTAAGTGTGGGGGAGTTGTTTATTGTGTTTTTGTGCTTATTTTCGTGTATTTTATGTGTTTTAGTTTAGTCTTTTTAGGTTCATTTTAGTGTTATCCGGTCCATTTTATCGTGTTTCGTGTATTTTTTCTTGTTTTTCTTTTTATTCTATTTTTAGCGTACTTTCCGTGCTCTTGGGTGTATTTTCAAGATTATTTCGAGGATGATAAGAGAAGAATCGAACTGAATTCCGAGAGACGAGCATTTTCGAAAGAATCCCAAGAAGTTTCGAACCAATCGTACGAGCCGTCTCCATTCCAAGAATTTCGAGCCATTGTGCCGCTGCCCAGGGCCACTCACGACCGCGCGCCAGGACCCACGCCACAGGGACGTGAGATGCCGCAGTCCCGGAACCCGCGACACGCGAAGACCCACGCGACCTCGAGAGTAGTCCCTTGCCTCGCGCCGAGCCCGTGCCGTCCCCGTGTCCGCGCCCGCGAAGATAGCCGCCAGCTCGAGAGTGTCCGCGCATCTCACCGTCCGCGCCGCGAGAAACAGCTCGCCAGCTCGAGAGTAGTGGATTTCCTTCGTGCCACCTCGCGCCTACCTCGTGACTTGCCCGTGCCAGCCCAGGCCCGCGACCTGCGGAATTCCCGGCAAGCTCGAGAGTACCTTTTAGTAATTGTGCGTGAAATTAGTGTGTGTTTTGAGTTGGTCTATAAATACATTTTGGTCCTTTGTAATTGGAACATCTAGATTTCATTTTTCACTTTCCCACTTTGGGAATAGCTATTTTCTTTTTAGTTTTCTCTCTTCTCTCTCTTGGGAGCTCTATGACATCATTTTCCAGCAAATTTTCCGGCGACTCTTATTTTGTTCAAGTTCCAAGCTTTTGACTCCGATTTTCGTCTAGCACGCAATAGAAGATTGAGTATTTACTTTTAAAGCTCATTACTTCGATTTTTGCCTCGTTTTTACTTATGGAATTTTTCAAGGTGAATTTGAGTGTTTGTTTGATGATGGAGGATATGCTTGGACTTGATCATTGCTCATGCTTGTTTTAGTAGAGACTAATTGCTTGTCTATCTAGAGTAAGGATTAGGACTCTATTTAGAGCTTAATCACTTAGGTTAGAAGGTTGGGATTAGTGATCTAGTATTAGAACTTGCATAGTTCTCGTTGTTGATTCGTTTGATGTTGATAGCTTAGAGACTCCGGTAGTGTTAATTGCTTAATTCTCTAGTTTGTTTGTTGCTTTCAATTTCGAGCATCGATTAGCATTAATTCACTCTCCAACCCATTGATTAGCATGTTTAGCTTTTATTTGCTCATTTTGTGTGATTTGGACAATTGAGTGGTGAACAAAGCTCCGAACCGTCTTCCTTTGAGAACGACTCGAGGTTGGGTAGCTCGGTTACCAACTACCCTCAAAATACTACAAAACATCGACCCTTGGTGCTCCAACCTGATAAATTAGCATACGCCGGAAAATCATTTATAGTCCACATTAGAGCTGCTCGTAATTTGAAGTTTTGACCGCTTGATGCATCAAATGCATCCATGCCATCCCACAAACGCTTCAATTCATCAATTAATGGCTGCAAAAAAACATCAATGTCATTTCCAGGTCCCTTTTCTCCAGGTATCACCATGGACAATATCAAAGAAGATTTCTTCTAGCAAACCCAAGGCTCTACATTATATGGAATCAATAAAACTGGCCAGGTGCTGTACGTCGTGCTCATTGTTCGAAATGGGTTAAATCCATCACTAACAAGAGCAAGTCTTACACTACGAGGATCAGATGCAAATTCTGGAAATCTGGCATCAAAATCTTTCCATGCTTTACCATCTGCTGGATGTCTCAATTTTCCATCTTTCGTACGCCCTTCAACATGCCATCTCTTTGATGATGCAGTTTTAGATGACATATAAAGCCTTTTAAGTCTTGGTATCAAAGGAAAGTAACGCAAGACTTTAGCTGCTTTATTCTTTCTTTGCTTGTCTTCATCTAGGTTTACTGCATTATCACCATCACTGTTCACTATCCACCTTGAAGCAGAGCACACATTACAAGATTCATAGTTTAAATTATCCCCTCAGTACAACATACAATCATTTGGGAAACAATCAATTTTTTGATATCCAAGTCCCAACTCCCTGATTATTTTTTTTGCTTCATAATAAGATGACGGCAACGAAGATCCAGGAGAAAAGACATCATCTAACAGCTCTAGAAGCATAGTGAATGACTTTGCGGACCAACCATAGAGACATTTGAGATGAAATAACCTCAATAAAAATGATATTTTTGAATATTTCAAACAACGTGGGTAAAGTTCAGTATCTCTTTCTTCCTCCAACGTTCTCTGCCCGCTCTTTGCATTATTTACATTGCTATCTCTAGAACTAGGTTACGACTCATCACCTAAATGTCCACATGCAATTGTTGTTTCTAAGTTATCCGGAGCAACTGTAGATGCTTTTTCTAGATTATGTGCATGAGTAGATCCCCAGGCATCTTGAAAGAGTCCCCTAATGTTATATTCTCCATCTAAATTATCTTCAATATTTCTCACAGTCGGTACATGTAGGATGCATTGATCTGTTGCTGAAAAAATATTCTCACCATTGAAAATCCAACAAGTATAACCTTCTAGAAATCCATACACTTTTCATTTATCACATAAAAAATATAAATAAATTTACTATTTTCTTAATTAAATTAAAAAAAAAAATTGAAAAGAAGGCCCTGGAAAGATTCAAGAACCATCTCATTCAAAGAAAATTGCATTCAAAATTTCACATCTTCCATTCGAAAAATCATATCCAGAAACTCAAAACATCCCAACTTGTAGGATCACTAAAAAAGTGAAACTTTATTACATTGGAACAGGACAATATGAAACTTTTCTACTACAAATGGATGTATTGGAAAAGAAATATGAGGTAAAAAGATATAACCAAAAAAAAAATAAAAAATACCTTCCAAAGAACAGAGGTGAGGATTTGAATGATCCGCTCCCAACTTCTAGCCTTCTAAAGGCCTTTCGGTGTAAGATTAGGTAGCAGCCCACGAGAAGAATTCAATTTTCTTGCGGCCGGCACATTGGAAGGATTCGGACGGGGTTCCGTTGTCTGGCTGTGATGAAAAGTTTTTATGTTTTTTTTCTTTAACTTTATTCCGTCAAAGTTTTCTCTAGCTGAGGATGATGAAAAGTTTTTTTTTTTTTTAAGTTTCTTCTTTGTTTTTATATTTTATTCTATCATAATTTAATAGTGCTTTTAAATAATTGTAATGAGGTTGATTAATATTGCAACACTTTTTTTTAAATGTCATAAAGTGGTTACGCTTTTAAAGTAAATGTTGTTGTATTAGTAAATAAGGTGACACTTCTTAAAAAGAGACGTTATTTAAATACAGATTTATAGAAAGCGTCGTCATATGGATAAACACGGTGACATTTTTTTACTAAATGTCATAATTTATTTACACTTTCAAATAGCGTCTCAATATATGTTAACATTACAACACTTTTCTTAAAAGTGACATTATTTGATTACATTTTTTAAAAAGTGTCGTTATTATTTTATCTTTACAACACTTTATAAAAAGCGACGTAGTTATTTTAACTTTATAACACTTTTTAAAAGGAGTCGCTATTATTTTAACTCTATAACGCTTTTTAAAAAGCGTTGCATTAATTCTTGTTTTAATTACACTTATTAGAAAAGTCACAATATGTATGTTGCTAGAAGTCCTTTTTGTTGTAGTGTATATTATTAACCTAGTTTTGTGTGTTGGAAAATCAATTATAAAAATTTGAGTTTGACCCAGTTTTGACTGATTTTTTTATTAATAATATTTAATTCGGGTTAAATTAAATTGTGTAGAAAAATTTTACATATTTAATAGATACTCGATGTAGCGCCCCATTCATTTTAGACGAGTTAGCGTATTTTATATTATTTATTCACCTCGCTTTTATTTCAGTTGTATTGCTCGACAAATCCTCGTTTAAGCTTCTATTGATTAATTAGATGTCCTCGTCTAGTTAATATTTTAAGCCGAATAAGTTTGTAGATATGATCGTCTACTTAAATTATTTCCAATATTTTTAGGCTTTCGTTATTCGAAAATCGTTCGCCCGTCGTGGTTCGATTTAAATTCGCTCATTGAATTGTTCGAAAATTCTTTGTTCATTCGCGTAGATTATTTTCGAGTTGTTTCCATTTTTTCCTCGAACCTTGGACTCAGCCTTACTAAGACTCATTCTTGGATCATCTCTAGCTTAATGGTTCGGCCCTTTGCGCCTTTTACTCAGCCCAAATCGGACTCCTCAAGCTCGGCCCGATTGGTAAATTTTTTTTGGCTCCATGTACTTTTGGTTTAAAATTCAAATCTTAAGCTAAGTTTGGAAGGTTTTGATCATCTCCTTGGAGCCCTTTTGACCACACGTTTCCAGCCCTCAAGACCACCTTAATGAGTGCTATTCATGGCATAATAAATCACAAATTGATAGCATTAAAATATTCCCTTGATCTCCTTGGCATACTTAAGAAAATCTACCTCTTTTTCCTCCCATTTTGCACGGCATTCCCCTCTTCTTCTTCTTCTTCTTCTTCTTCTTCTTCTTCTTCTTCTTCTTCGCGAGCCGAAGGCCACACGCACGGTGAGTCCCGGCCACCTGCGAACAGCCATCTCACGACGAGGAACTCCCATTGCCGAGGAGTGCCCACGACAATCATCCCTCTGTCCGAAGCCGAAGCCGCCTAGACCGTGCCCGTGCCTTGTACCATTTCGATCCGTTCTTCCTTTGGCTTGTAGATTCCCGAAGCCGGGTATCTACTTCGATCTCCCTTTGTTCTAGTCTTTTTTTTATGTCCATTGTTTAAATCTAAAATTTTTAGTTTTGATCTAAATATCGAAAATCGAGATCTAATGTTATTGTTGAAGAATAATATTTGATCTTGAAAGTTTGAATGTTATTGTGGATTTGGAAATCATGTTGTTGCCTTTTATTGTTGAATTTCATACCTTGGTTTATTTGTGGAAAAATCGTATGATTTTGAACCTTGATTTGTTATCCGAGCCCTCGTCTCGTGTTGATTGGCTTTCATAAGTGTTGAGCTATGAAAATCCTTTTTGAGACCCTTGTACTGATTGTTGTTCGTCGCTGTTTTGGACCACTGAAACTCAGTCAAATAATTTCAATCTCTTCTGGTGATTTGAAGTTCAACCTCTTTGGTGTAGAAGAGTTATCCATTTTCCAACAACTTGGTTTTTATGTTTTCACTTGTCCGTTTTCGAGTCGTTCGACCCGTGTTCGAGCCGAACCTATGTTTTAGCCTCGTGACTATTCTTCCGAGTCTTGTTCCATTAAATTGAGCATTCCAAATTCTACAAAATTTTCATAAGCTCCTTAATCAATAATTTTGATTAACTGAGAATTTTGGTTAAATTCTCGAGTCATCGAGATAATTTATTTATGAAAATTATCTTGATTAAATGTAGGTTCCTAAGGAGTCGAGCCCTCAAACCTATCGTGCAGTCGTTCTATTGTTTCTGCTTCTCCGAACTAAGGTGGGTGTTGATAAACCTTACTATGCTTTTATTTCATATAATCGTGTGATTCCATAATCAATGTGTGCATGTGAGCCATCAATCTATTGAGTTTAGCTCTAGTCGGGCGTGCCGACAGCTTCCCCGTAGTTACCCAAGGAGAGTGGATCTCCCTCCGGGCGTACCGATTAATTGGGTCCCGAGCAAGAGTGTGTACATATGAGCATAGGGATGGGTAAGAGGTAGATGTGATGATTTGCATTCATCCTGAGATTATGTTGTCAATTATTATCTGAAATATATCGCATAGTATTCCCATGGTGTGCTTGTTGTTTGCTAACCCCCATTATTTCTATTTTTTCAGGTTGAGTTATTGGCCTTGGCAATGACGAGATGAGGGTGGTTTATTTGTATTAAAATGTGCTTTATTTGCTTCCGCTTAACATTCTCAAAACTCGCGTATTGTTTGGTTTCAAGATTTTTCAACTGGTTGGATTTGTTACAAGATTGCTATGTTGAGTATGGATTATTATCTCGTAGCGAATTGTTGTGATGTGATTTTGGACAATAAAGTTCCATTAATTCAGATGTGAATTGAGTTAAGTAAAAATATTGTTTGAGTATGCCCTTTAAAAGATTTTAAATTGGATAATTATTTTCGAAAAATTTATTCCTATTTTTGAAAAGTAAAGATTTTATCTTGAAAAATAACGGGGCGTTACAGTATGGTATCAAAGCGGGTCTATGGTTCTGTAGAATTTGAAATTTTCAAAGTTAAAATTTTTTTGAAAATTTTTCGAAAGTTGTGAAAAAATGACCACTCGTCTTCGCCATGCCGCGCCAACTCAAAAATATGAGATAGTTCAGATTTTGGCATTCTTCTGTTTGGACTTTAGATTTTAGGGCTTAGGAATTTACCCTCCGAATTTAAGGACATGAACTCTAATCGTAGTCGAGTTAGTTTTGACTTTATAAGTCTCCTCGCTATAAGTTTCAACATAGTGTTTTCGAACGAGGGCCTTGTACAAGCCATCTCGACGATAGAGAAGATTTTAAGTAAAGGGAAATCGCTACGAATTTCTGGTGACCGATGTCTGGATGCCATAAAGAGGAGAAAACAACCGAAGAAGTCCCAAGTGTGTGGGATTATTCGAAAGCTGGAGCAGTTGACAAAGGACCAGCAGACACATGATAGAATCTAATCAATTGAGTACAATGGATGGAGGCAAGTTCCTCGAACAACAATAGGTTGCGAAAAAAAATCATGTGTGAAATACTGTCGCGACTCTCGAGGGTGGCTAAGCCTTGAGAAAAGCGATAGGTATCTGTAGATAATTGAGTTTTGGCATTAAACGAAGAACTCTAAAATGGCGCGATGAACCTGCAACAGATGAATCGACGGGCAGGAACATTTAAGGGAATTATGTCTTATATTATTTTGAACTAATTCCCTAATACTAGTTAATAGAAATGAACCAATAATTTTATTATTTGTGCAGGACTAACAAAGGGAATTTCAAATGTACTTTCCTTATTATAAAGATTCGGCCACATGAGAAAGACATTCCATAATTGGAGGCGGCAGAATCAATCAAGAGAACTTTCCTATTGAAACGTGGCTTGGCAGCAAAGATTTCTTGGCTTACCATATTTGAGAACTAGATAAAAGTGTTGGGACTGTGATGAAGAAAGGTGTTCGTAAAATATCTTTTCTTACTTCTCGAGAATTTTAATTTTTAGAGAATTGAAAAAGTTTTGTTGAATCTTTCGTGAGGAGAATTTTCTTTATTTTTATTGAGTGATGATTTCAGAGAGTGTTCTCAATCACGTTTGAGAGATTAATTTATTTCGATTGAACTAAGTGTTTGAGAGGATCACTTAGTATAGTTTGAGGGATTCAAACTAGAAAAATCACTAGGGAGTCGTGGTCGGATTAGTAGTTGTGCAGATATGTTACTTCAAGTATAGTGTGGAGGGAGTCTACATTATAAACTCTTGAGTAATTGCTGTGAGATCTACATTAATGAACGAGATCCGAAGGGAGAGCGGGACGCTCTCCAGAAGACTCATTTCAAAGTATTTTTGCTTCTGCAATTGTGTGAACTTTATTAAGTTTACTGCTTTATTCGTTTAGTGTTATTCTGGATGTTTGTCTATATCGTTGCACAACTTCATTATCAATTCTCTTGCTCGAAGTTCGAAGCATCGAAGGGAAGGACTTGGAGGCTGACACTTAGATGAAGGACTTGGATGTCATTCTCAGGACGAATGGACTGACAAGATACATAGTGGATATCAGAGGCCATGACTACGACACTTCATCTTGAAGGAGATGAAAAGAATACCTTCTATGGAGCAAATACGGGAACAATGCCAAGGGTGACTCATATGTTGAAGACTATGAAGGCTTGAAAAAAGTAGAGTAGTCGAAAGTTTTGGAGATCGTCATCGGGAACGAGATAAAGGGACCATCGTCGGAGGAGGCAGATCACGTGTATTCTTGCTAGCCCAGGATGAAACCAAACCGAATCGAAATTGAACAGCTGATTGAGTACTTTGCGAGAAGAGCAGCGTTTCTTTGTTTCTTGAGTTTCTGTTTCTTATACTTTTGAAAACTTTTTTTTTTATCTTATGCTTGGAGCTGACTTCTTTTGAGACTTTGTTTAAGAATAGGATTAAGTATTTTAGGTTTATGCTTGTCTTTATTTTTTTTTTTTTTCCAACGATAGAAATGACTCCATTCAACCAAAATAAAATACAATGTTCAAGAACACCAACATAATAAAAGCCGAAGGCTAAGCCAGGGAGCACTACCGCAAGTGGTAGGCTACAAACTAACAAGATTACAATACAAATTACCCACACTAATCTCCATCAAAGGCAGAACATAAATTCTGAACCCTCCAATGGGATATTCACCCTAGAATCACAACACAGATAAAGTACATACATGATACAGCAACTTAGGATACACAAAGACACTGAACTGCATCAAAACAGACCTATCTATGTTACTCTAATGCTGCTGCATCTCTTGAAAGCTTGTGATTCTTGCCATTCAGCCCATGCTTCTTTTACAATGCTAGATATTGGTCTCCATTCTCCTTCAAACACCCATAAGTTCCTCGACTTCCACAACCACCATAGAATATAGGTTGTGAGTTCTATCCTTGCTTCATTCACTGCTGCATTCCCGATAGAGCACACTGATCCCCACCAATCCTCAAATCTGTTCCCTTCAGCTTCTAATCCATCCCAACTGACCTGAGCTTGCTGCCACACCTTCTTAGCTCTCCTGCAATGAAGTAAAGCATGTTCCACTATTTCCTCAGCTTCTCCACAGCATTTACACACCACATCTAGCTCAATCCCTCTCCTTCTAAGGTTCACACACACAGGTAAAGCTCCATTCACACACTTCCATAAGAAATGTTTTAGTTTGCCTTTCACCTGCAACCCCCAACTCCTCTTTCTAATCATCTGATTTCTCCTGCCAGTGCTGCTTCCCTCAGGTAGATCCATTGCAATGATCCTCAAATGATGCAGAAAGTCATATGTGGATGAGACTGAAAACCTGCCCTGCACACCTAACTCCCATCTCCACTTATCCTTCACCATTGAATCTAGTCCCTGAATTTGCAGAATGGCATCACAATCCTCCTGTGCAATTACATCTCTCACCCTTTGTGTATTCCACCTATTACTATTGCTATCAATCAGAGTCAGAACAGTGATGTTCTCCCCATCAACACCCTCCTTCAATTTAATTCTCCTTCCTCTGATGCCTGGTACCCAATTATAGTCATTAAGTTTAACCGAGGCTCCATCTTTAATATCCACCTGCAAACCCTCACCGAAGATAAAGCAAAAGTAATGCTTGAGAAACCACCTACTGGATCAAGATAAAGCAACCATCACCGAAGAACGTGCCGATCGTTTGGGAGTATTTAAGAGTCTTTCTGGAGGAGCTGCTAGGAGGCCCACCAGACGAACAAGATGAGTTCGAAATCGGTGTAACACCTGGAGCACCAATCTGTTCGTGAAGGAGGAGAGTAAATCGAAGAAGATTGGTGAAGCGTATGTGAACACAACCAACTGAAGTTGAAGAATAAATACCCTTTGGAAATTGGGTGTACTTAATCATTGGAAGGCTTAGACCAGGGTCGCAGCGCACCGAGGATTTTCAGTCTTTGGCCACGCAATAACAAAGGGAGACATAACCGGTGATGTGAAATGGACCTTCGCTACTAGCAGCAGGTGATGCAGACGTACTGCGTGCTGGTGCTGCACGAAGAGGGCCCCTCAGGTCACTGGTGTGTCGTGCGCAGCGTACCGCACATGGCGTGTCGCGTTGCCGCATACCAGGTTAGCAAGTTGTACCATAGTTATCGAGTCGTCTGCGTGTAATGTGTACCGATCCAGACATTTTTTAGTGTTTCAACAACCTAGGTCTCATGCTCTCAACATTGATTTTAAAAAGCAAAAAACTAGTGTGATTGATGCTGAAAAGGTGGTGGAGGTGACCAGCCATAAGTGGTCCCCCAAGTCCAAATGAGAGCTATAGTGTGGAATTGAAGAGGTCTTGGTGGACCCTATACAATTCTCCAGTTGAAGGCTAAGATTAGGGCCTACCTTCTAGATTTTATTTTTCTGTCTGAAGTAAAAAAGAAAAAATCTTTTTTCAGCATTGTGTGCAAAACTTTAAATGTGTAGGATAGATGGGCGTTTGTTTGTCCCGTAGGGTCCAAAGAGGGCCTTCTTTTGTGTTGGTCTAGGAAAATTTCTATTTTAAAAATCCTTTGTTCTTTCTTTTGTTTGGAGGTTTGTTACTGTATTGAGGGGGAGACTGATGTTATGTCGGCTGTTTTTGTTTATAGTAGCACTGATGCTGCTGAAAGGCAGTCTCAGTGGTTCAGTCTGTGTAGGTCTAGTGTTAATTGGGGCAAGGTGTGGTTTTTAGCTTGAGATTTTAATGACATTTTGTGCAATGTAAGAAGGGGGGTTTATTAAGAGGGGCTTCTAGTTTTGCATTGTTTAGGAATTTTATTGCAAATTTAGGAGTGATAAAGTGTATTTGTAAGGGGCATCCTTTTACCTGGTCTAACAACTGAAAAGATGGGGATTTTATTGAAGAAAAGTTAGACAGAGTTTTCCTATCCCCTGAATGGCTCTTTAAGTTCCCCAACTCCGTTGTCTTACATATTTCTTTGATATCCTCAGATCACATCATGTTAGTTTTGGAAGCTGTGGGCAAGGAGACAGAAGGTAAAAGGAGATTCATGTTTGATAAAAGGTGGATTAAGATGGAGGGTTCTGATGAGTGTGTTAAGAATGTCTGGCTTGAATCAGTGAGAGGCCCTGCATAGGTTTCAGAAAAGATTGAAAAAGGTGATATTTGGTTTGTTAAATTGGGGTAAGAATAAGGTGCCAAATTTAGTTTTGAGGATACAAAAGTACTCTGCCAAACTGGAAAGCCTAGGAGTCCAAGGAGGATGAAGAAATTGGGATGATTGGTTGAAGTGTAAAAAAAAACTTCATCAGGCTTATAGAGATGAAGAAAGTTTTTAGAGACAGAAAGCTAGGATTAGATGGTTGAAGGAGGGTGACAAAAGTACCAGATTTTTCCAAGCATGTGTCAAACAAAGAAGATATACAAACAGCTTGGATAATTTGATTAATTCAGAAGGGGAGATATGTCTTGGTAGAGAAGAATCTCTGAAGGAGGTGGTACATTTCCTTGACAATCTCTTTAAATCAGAAGCTTGTGGGGAGAATGTGGAAATTTTGAAGGGTAATCCTCAGTTAATAACTCCAGAGTTGAATCATAACTTGTGCAAACCTGTTGATGAAAAGTGAGATTAAACAAGCCTTGTTTGACATGGATCCTGATAAACCACCAGGTTTGGATGGCTTCTCTCTTTCTTTTTTCCAATCTTCTTGGTCTACTATTAAGTAGAATATGTGTCTTAATGTGTCATTTTTTTTTTTATTCTGGTCATATTCCTAAAAATACTAAGCATACTTTTATTACTTTGATTCCCAAAGTTAAAAATCGAAAAAGAGTGGTTGATTTTAGACCTACTAGTCTGTGTTCTGTTACTTATAGGATTATTGCTAAAGTGCTAGCAAATAGGCTCAAATTAGTGTTTGGTCTTTGAATTTTCTATTTCCAGTCTGCTTTTATCCCTGGTAGACAAATTCGTAATAATGTTGTAGTTGCTAATGAGTGCATCCACTTTTTGAATAATAAAAAAAAGGAAAAAAAAAATGTTTCATGACTGTAAAATTTGATAGGCAAAAGCCTATGGTAGGGTTGAGTTTTTTTGAATGTTTGTAGGGCTATGGGTTTCTTTGAGAGATTCTTGTTTTGGGTATGGCCCTGTATTAGTGGTACTTCTTTTTCCTTTAATTTCAGTGGCCAAATTGTGGGGAATGTTAATGCTTCTAGAGGATTAAGACATGAGGATCCTTTATCTCCCTCTCTGTTCATAATCCTATTTGAAGCATTATCAAACCTCATAAAACAAGTCTTTATCCATAATAGCTTTCAAGGTCTTAAAATAAGCAAGAATTCCCTTGATGTATCTCACCTTTTCTTTGCAGATGATTCATTGATCACGTGCCAAGCAAATTCCTTTCATGCTAAGCTTCTTTTGAATATCCTGAAATCTTATTGCACTGCCTCTGGCCAAGCTGTGAATATGTCTAAGTCCAATATCTTTTTTTCCCATAACTCTCCTATTGAGTTGTAAAACTCTATCTGTCAGTCTTTTTTCAGGTATTGAAATTGTGAAATCTTCTAAGTTTTTGGGTCGCCCTCTAGTAATTGGAAAATAAAAAAAGTGACTTTTAATTTTGTTAAGCAATATGTTGTTTCTAAAATTTCTAGCTGGAAAAATAGGGTTTTGAGTGAAGCTGGGAGGGATGTTCTTATTAAGTTAGTGCTTTATGCCCTCCCTATTTATGTGATATCTATTTTTAAAATTCCTGTGGATATTTGTAGAGTTATTGCTAGTTTTTGGTGGGGGCGGAGTGAAACTGGTAATGATAGGATTCATTGAGCCAGTTGGGATAAACTTGCTAGACTGAAGATAGATGGGGGGTTGGGGTTTAAGTAGTTTGGGGCCTTGAATGAAGCTTTGATTTTAAAACAGTTATGGAGAATTTTGACCTGTCCAAACCTCCTGATGAGTAAGGTTATTAGGGGTAAGTACTTCTATAACCAAAACTTAATGAATGTGGAGCTTGGGGTTAGGAAGTACTTGAAGGTGGGACTTAGATATCAGATAGGAAATGGGCTAGCTGTTAGGATATGGGAGCATCCTTGGATCCCTAATTCCCCTAATTTTATTCCTGTGTGTATTTTTGAGGAAGATAGGGCTACTTTGTATAGGGTTTCTGATCTTTTTTTGGCAGGGGGAAGTGCTAGAATGAGGAGCTCATTAGACAAACTTTTTCTCCCTCTGATGCAGAAAATATCCTTAGAATTCATATTAGTCAGTGGGGGTGTGAGGGATAGATTAGTTTGGGATGCTGATAAAAAAGGAAAATTTACTAGGAAAGGGGCTTATAACTTGATCTTGAGCAAGGCCAGAGATATGCAGGACATATATGAAGCCAGTGGGAGCACAAAGTTCAAGCAGACTAGATAGAGAAGGACATGGGCTTTACCCATCAAGCAGAAAATCAAAACATTTATTTGGAGATGCTGGCGTGATTTTTGGGGACAAAAACAAGACTCAAGCAGAAAGGAGTGGAAGGGGATGAGATTTGTTATTGGTGTGGAGTTGATAAGGAAGACCCAACGGAGGATCCAGAAATTTTTATGAGCCAGGGGAAAAAATATTTCAATATTCTTTTTAACCATATTGCACAAAGTACTTATTATAACAATTTAATAAATCGTTTGAACAATTGAGTGTTGAGGGATTCCCTATTCAATTTTCCTTTGACTTGATGCTAAAAAATAAAATTGAGAATGAAGTCTAGTTATTTTATTTTGGTTATTTTATTTTGCATTTTTATTAATATTAAAAAATATACCAAAACTATTTTACGATCATTTTTCCTTCATTTTTTGTGTAATAGAAAATAAAGAAGTCATTTTGAAATATAATTTATTAACTTAAAAAAGCCTAAATGTCATTATTTTTGTTCATGTTATTATATAAAGATTTCCTTATGGATTATCTTTTTATATAGGCATAATGGCGGGAACATACACGACCTTTGCGTGTTTGGCCATTTAATCACCACGTTTAGACCTTGGCAAATAAATACATGACCTTTGCATTTTTGGCAACCCGATACATGGTTTTAACTGCCATTAACGGGAATCCTACGTGGCTTTTAAAACTGACGGACACACCAAACGGATGTCCGAATCAGCGCCCAGGTGGCAAGGTCGGGTACTATAAAAGCTGAATCTGCCCCAATTTTCCCCAAACTCTTCATTCCCAAAACCTAACTTCCCGATTTTACATGTTGAAAACCCTGGGTCATCGATTTGCTCCGAAATTCAGAGGGTGCGTCTTCCATATCATCGATTTGACGTCATGGTTGCAAGGTAACTGCCCTTTCTCACTTGAAATGTTTAATTTGGTTTTATATTTTTTAGGGTTCGATTTGTTAATCTTTTCTGATTTTTCCAATTTACAGCGATTTCTTTCTATTATTTATCAATCACAAGGGTAGATTTGTGACTGTCGATGGGTATGAGGCGTATTATGGTGATTGTGTTGCCACGGTTACTGGGTTGGATGTAGATAGGCTAGGTTATTTTGACATTGAAGATGAAATAAAGAAGTTGGGATATGAAAACTGGGGTAGAATATGTTATAAGCATCGGACAACACGTGAATTTAAAGATATAACAGATGATGCTGATGTTATGGACTGTTTGGGTCAAATGCAGGGAAACAAAAGATATGTTGAAATATATGTGCAAACTGAACATTTAAAGAAATCATCTGGGGTTGCTGTGTGTCAACAAGAAATTGAATCTAGGAATAGGGTACCTAAAGTTGCTGAGGCAGACCAAGCAAAGGATACTAGTGACAAGCTAGTTGAGTTTGCTTTAGATGAAAGTGAGGATGAGGACTATGAACCATCTGGAGAATCTTCAAATGATGATGGTTTGTCTGAGGAAGATAGGGACAGATGATGAGGAGTATCTTGAGGCCAGGAGAGAAGTTTTGAACTCCAGAAAGTCACAAGATGATGGAGATGCAAACATTTCCTTTGCACAACCATCTGCACATCATGAGGCTGATGACAACATTATACCTGCAAGAGATATTGAGTCAGAATATGAAGATTCTGAAGGGAATGTCAACACTGATTCATCTAGTGGTGAGGGTTTTGGTGATGATGATGATGAAGCAAGGCCTAAGAAAAAGAAAATTGTTTATGATGGTAAGGGAGATCTGCAGGCATTTCAATTTCAGCTTAGGATGAGGTTTGAAAGCATTGGGCAATGTAAGAAGGCTGTAACATAAGTTTCTTCAGAAGTAGTTCAAGTCAGGTTGAAGCTAGGTGTGAAGTGGGTTGTCCATGGAGGCTTTATGCTAGTCTGATAAAAGGTGAAGGTAGTGTGGCTATCAAGACCTTTGTTAGTAGCCACAGCTGCCATAGGGACTTGAACACTAAACAAGCAACTACTTCATGGGTTGCTGGGGAGTATCTACCTATGATTAGGAAGAAGCCTAAGATGAAAATTCTGACTTAGAGGATTCTATCAGTGAAAAATATGGTGTGCAACCCTCTAGGTGGAAACTGTACAAAGCAAAACCTAGGGCTCTTGAACTGCTTAGAGGTACAGAGGAGGAGCACTATGGAAAACATAGGAGGTACATTGCAGAGCTTCAAAGGGTTGATAGAAATGGCACATTTCAGCTTTTCTTGGAGAGTGGCAATGTATTCAAAGGTTTTTATGTTGGTTTTAGTGCACTCAGACAAGATTTCTTGCAAGGCTGTAGGCCAATTATTGGTTTTGATGGGTGTTTCTTGAAGACCTTTTTAGGAGGTGTTTTATTGTGTGTTGTTGGCAAGGATGGGAACAACCAGATATTTCCCTTGGCATGGGCAGTTGTGGATTCTGAGAATGAGAGCAATTGGAAATGGTTTCTAGATATTCTTTTTCAAGATTTGGGGATAACAGAAGGACTTGGATGGACATTTATTAGTGATCAACAAAAGGTTAGTTTTTGAATCATACAGATATATATATGTATATTTATTTGTTTGACTTGTCTCTAATAGATGTTCTTATTTAACTCATTATGTAGGGACTCATTGCTGCTATAAGGGATCTTTCACCACATGCAAAACATAGAAACTGTGCACGACATGTGTACATGAACTGGAAGAAATATCACAAAGGCAGTTCACTTAAAAGCTGTTTTTGGAGGGTAGTGCACATCATATAGAAGGCAGCCTATAAGAAGGCACTTGAAGGGATGAAGGTAGTGGATAAGGAGGCTTATGAGAAATTCATGAAGCTAGAAAATGTCAGGTTCTGTAAAGCTTTTATCCTTGAGAATCCAAAATGTGATATGGTACTTAATAATGTATGTGAAACTTTCAACAGTACCATAGTGAAGGCAAGGAAAAAACTATTTTTGACATGCTTGAGAGTATTAGATCTTATGTAATGGAAAGGCAGCATCACAATCTAATGTTGACTAGTGGAGTAAAGGATAAAAGCTAAAATGTAGTTGACATATCAGATGATCAATTTGTAGTTGATTTGAAGTGCATGACATGTAGTTGTAGAAGCTAGGATATATCTGGTATACCATGTATCCATGCTTGTTCTGCAATTCATTACATGAAGAGGGATGTAGTGGAATTTGTCATCCCATACTTCTGTGTAGAAAGAAATTTGAGAGCATACTCCTTTTCTCTTGAACCATTAAATAGACCTAAAATGTGGCCTGATGCATCTGGGTCCACTGTCAAGCCACCTCCATTTAAAAAGATGCCTGGTAGACCTAGAATAAGAAGGAGAAGAGCACCTGAAGAAGAGGCCAAGAGTGACACTAAGCTGAGGAGATTTGGACTAGAAATGACTTGTCAAAAATGCAAGAAAATTGGGCATAACATCAGGACTTGCCCCAATGAAGCTGCTCCTGCACAGACAAGAGTGAGTTTTATTGTTAGTGCTTATTTATGAACATTTATGATGCATTATGTTAATATCCTTGTCGTTGAATTGTAGAAAACGAGGGGGAGACTAAGGACAAAAGAGCAACATGTGGAGTCTTCTGCAAGAGATTGGCCTGTAACACCAACACCAACTCCACCAACAAACCCAACACCATCCCCAACAGCACCACCACAAGTACCACAAACACAAGCCCCAACAGCACCACAAACACAAGGCCCAACAAAAGCCCCATCCACAAGAGCAACCACAACCAAAAGAGAAACCACAGTCACAAGAGGAGCCAGAACAGCCCCAACTACAAGATCAGCCATATATGCTATGCAACAGACAAAAGGATATGGTGTGATGGTCTCTGAGCAGACATGAGACATTTATATGAGAGTATGCTTCATTGTTTACCATATTTTTCCTGTGCCAATTTGTTATGCATTTTTCAGAAATTTACTTAATTTGTTCCACAACTGCTTAATCAGATGCTAGGGCAAAGTAGAGTTATCTTTGTACCTAACAGAAGACCTGGATCATCACATGGACAAAAGAAAAACATCCACGAATTGCCCAAGAGATCAAGGGACCCAAGAGAGTGTTTGCAACTTTTCACCTTAGTTGTCATGGATATGTACTGTTGTTAGGTTTTGGGGATTTATGTTCTGAACTGCCTTGTTTTTTTATGTTTTTGGTTGTGGGATTGGAGATGCAGTTGTAAACCATGTAATTTCTGAATTTGTATTGGATTTGATGTTTTTGGTTGTGAAATTTGTGAAGTGAAATAAAGTAACTGTAAACCTAACCAAAATAAGCCAAAATGATCATTGTCAATATTAACATACAATACATGGCACCAACATACACATACACATAAATAAACTTACAGAAAAACATAAGCTGATTCAAAAAAAAAAAAAAAAAAAAAAAAAAAAATCCATAACAACTACAAAGTTTCTAAAAGGCAGCATCAGAAATGGTTCATTGTCAATACATAACCGAGATGAAGTTACAAATAACACAACTGACACACACACAATACGGTTTCTGAAGATGTTTCTCTTGGACAAGACTTGTACTTGCTTCTCCATGTCATTTACTTTGAATTTAAGATACAAAAGTTCATCTTCCTTCATTTTCAGCCTCTCAGCCATTGCTACTGCAGTAACTTCTTCGCATTTTAATTGCTCCTCTAAGTCATTTGCTTTGGATTTAAGATACAATAGTTCATCATTCTTCAATGAGAGCCTCTCAGCCATTGCTACTACAGTGACTTCTTTGCATTTTAATTGCTCCTCCAACAATGTCTTATCAGTCTTCAGTTTCAGAAAACATGATTTCTGAATGGTCCAAGCTCCAGATTAATCCAAGAAAAGTATCTACAAGGTTTCTTTTACAAAGAAGCAAGGATTAGAACAAACAACTCGTATTTTCTGAGTTCATTTCATCAAATTCAACTCGCACTTCAAATTGAACAGGTCAGTTCATCTCAGATCGGCCACGCATGAAATTACAAAAACTACGCCAAATTGCAGTCATATCAGCACAATTGCACTCATATCGGCACAAAATATAATCAAAAAACCATATTGCAACAAGAAATCGAACTCACCTCTGGGTTGATGCAACGTCAAAATCGGCGACAAGGATTGAGGTCGGTATTTGATGTGAATATACCTGGTTCGTCTCCACATGCACATTCTCATTTGAATCTCCTTGAATCTGAGCTCGAACTTGCCGACATGCAAATTTGCGGCGATTTTGGGCGAATTTCAGTGAAATTAGGGTTAGATTTTGGGAATGAAGAGTTTGGGGAAAAATTGGGGCAGGTTCGGCTTTTATAGTACCCGACCTTGCCACGTGGGCGCTGACTCGGACGTCCGTTTGGTGCGTCCGTCAATTTTAAAAGCCACGTAGGATTCCCGTTAACGGCAGTTAAAACCATGTATCGGGTTGCCAAAAATGTAAAGGTCATGTATTTATTTGCCAAGGTCTAAAGGTGGTGATTAAATGGCCAAACACATAAAGGTCGTGTATTTTCCCACCATTATCATTTTATATATAAATGTATAGTTTTTCATTGTCAATTTCCAACGCTTTGTAATTCTATATGTTAATTTCAAAGGATTCGAAATAGTCCATATAAATATGGATCTTTATCCAGAACTTTCAAGTTTAAACGTTTGGGTAACATAAATTGTAAATATATTTTAAAAGTTAATAACATTTGTATATATAATCATTTTTTATATATGATAACTTAAATTTTAACAATGTATAATTTGACATTTATATTGTATATGTAAATTAAAATAATTATATCTAACTGATCTCTATGAATAAAAATTTAAATATTTATCAATTATAATTGAAAAACAATAAATTTATCTATCAAGCTTATTATATTGTATAAGTACTAAAAATATTCTAATATAATATCGTCGAATCCGACTGGTGAGGTGTATCATTTTAAATAAAAACAATTATGTTATTTTGTAAGAAGTATTTGAAATTTTAAAATAAAACCTTGTATTTATATTCTTAAATATATTAAATATAAATTTATTATTACCTCATATTATGTGTAGTTAGCACAAAGAATTGAGCCTAGCCAGTTGCCTAGGCTCGCCCTAGTGTAGATCCGCCCTTGGGAAGACCTGGAACATCTCTTTTTCAAATGTGAAAGAGCAGTCAGTGTGGAAAATAGCTTGCCTAGAGTGGGTTAAGATGAAACAGCAGTCCTTAAGATTTCAAGAGTGGTGGGAGAATCTCTATTTAATTCACAAAGACCAGAATTACAAGGACAGAGTGAGTCTCTCTACTTACATCTTATGGTGGTTATGGAGAACTCGAAACAACTGGATCTTCAGAGGAGAAAATATTGAGGAACAACAGATGGTGCAAAAGGCAAGCTTAGATTGGTTGGAGTTTGAGGAAGTTCAGCAAGAGAATATGAAAGAAAGTTTCAAATGCCTAAAGGCCAGGGTTGGGTTGGCAACAGGTGGGAGCACAAGAGTAGGACATCAATTTACTGAAGTCAGTGCTAAATGCTCACATTCTGAAGAACAACTTCTGCAAGGCTGGGCATTATAAAGGGGGTTGAGGCAGCTGAGGGGAGTATACCCTTTGGTCAGGCTAAGGTTGCAGAGGAAGAAATCATGTTAAGGGTGAGAACATGGCTTGGGCAGGGTGCTGGTGATGGATGGGACAAGGTGGTGTTATTGTTTAGAGACAAGAGTCTGTGTAGAAGGTTGCAAACTCCTTGTTTTCCTATGGATATTTGTGTTGTAGTTGAAGACATTTTGTTCTTATGTTCTTTGTTTTCCTTTTGTTCTTTCTCTTAGTTGTGTGTGTTGTTATTTGTTGGACCGAAGTGGTCTTGTAGGGGGGCCGTGACTTAGTGTCACTCGTAGGGTTCTTAGTATCTTGCAAGCTATTAATGCCTTATTGTAATCCGTTGATTGCTCAAGTTTCTTGTACTTTGGAGTTTTTCATTTTATTGGATATGTTGTT